TTATGTCATAAATTAAATAACTTAAACTATAAATTATTAATAAATAATTGTATTGACATTTGAAAATTAATATCATAACATTGTGTTATTTTATTTGATAATGTGTATTTTGGACAAACCTCCTCGATGCGCTTTCGCTGTAAAGAGAAAAGACAATATTTAGATTTTTACTAAATAAATTTCTATAGATATCTAATATATCCTATATTAAATTAAGGGAGAGATACCAGGCGACACAATCGCAAAAGTTTTGGTTTCAATTTTGCGCATATTTTAATAACAACTTGTCCTAGGATGTACATAGTATCTCTCCCTTATAAAAAAAATGTTATTTTATTTAATTACGCCTAAATAATTTAGCTTATTAAAATAAAACTGAAACCCAATTTCGAACTTTATCATTAATAATTAAATTATTATACACAAATTATAAATAAGGAATGCAAATAATTTTAAATAAACATGCTGGTCTAGATAATTAAAGTGTTAAATAAATTTTAAGAACATAATTCTTAATTTCAATGTTTTTGTCCAAAGTCAAACTAATTTGATATTAATAAATTTATAAGTTATTGTTATCATACAAAAATCACGCTACATAGGCATTTAGAGGTTACAGTTTACAGAAGTTAAAGCTAAAACTACAGGACTTCTAATATACTCACGACCAATCTAAGTAACTTTAATCTTTATGCTAGATATAAATGAAAATTTTCAAGGTTTCAAATCGATGTGTTTCACTCATAAGCTATTTTCATATAGCTTTTATAAAACACCTGGATGCTATCAATTTCATGATCAACTTTACTAACTGATCATGTCCGCAGATAGACATATCTGCAGATTTATTCTTTGTGCATTCAAAGGCGATGCAATTTAATCTAGGGACTGGACAATCTAAGGACTACAATACTTGAATAAAAATCATTAGTCATTTTCAGATATTATTGAAAATTTAGCATGCTTGTTAAATTTACCTTGCATCGAGAAAAAAATCATACTGCGCAGATTCAAATGAAGATCATCCATGTGAAGATAGAAATATGGAAAGAAGATGAAAAAAGTATATAAATTTTGTGACAAATATTTATAAAATAAATGATTGTATTTCAGAATGTTTTTTGTACTTACCAAACCTCATCGTCAGCCATGGTTGTAGTTTTTTGTGAGTCTGAAAAAACAACAAATAAAGTGAAATTTGTGCAGAAATATATTAAAATATATTCAAGATTAATGAATAAATATTAATTATCCTCATCGAAATAATATAATTTTTTTTTTATCATTTATTATTTATCTATTATTCTTTCTAAGTAAATTTTTTATCAAGGTAAATCTTTTAAATGAAAAAATGTATTTTTATATATGATTTAACATTCACAATTGGTTATTATGTAAAAAGCACATTTTTCGTAATTTAACACAACGGTATCCACAGTAAAATTGGAAAGCTTTCTTAAAGCACCTTCGTATTACATATTTGCTCAATTTAACATATAACAAGCAAATAAAATAATAGGAATTTTCAAAAAAAAAACTTGAATAAACAATCTAAAAATCTTTTTGTTATATAAGCATCATTTTTAAAAGTTTACCTTAATTTACCTCTTGAGTAATTTAAAACAACAATCACAAATGAAACTAGTAGCAGAAAACAATAATATAACGCATCTTAAAAGTAAAATAATTTAAATATTTATATATACGCATCTTAAAAGTAAAAAAACTGACTGCGCTACAAAAATCTTTTTATTCACATAAATAAAATATCATCGTATTCCTTGAAATTTTGATTGCAGGTCGTTTTTTTTATATATTTTAATTGCATAATAAAACGATGTTAACTAATTTTGTAACGTTTTGTTATTTTTTACGAGTACCTACAGATCAGAAAACTAATTAGTATAAGAAATTAGATTTATAGGAAAATATAGAGTTTATTGAAAAGCATTATTTTTCAATTTCATTACATCTAAAATGTCGAAGTCAGCTTACTATAATAGAGAATATCATCAATATCATCATTTATGATTCGTATATTAGCGCAGGACGTTGCCTATATAATAGTGCAATCTAATTCGGGCGTCGACTGTAAATAAACTTGCCGCTTCTGGTTGCCAGATTCAGTCGTTTTCACTCCGACTCTATTTTTAATCGTTGTCTTCGAATGAACGCAGATAATCTTACAAGAAATGGGTGTTGCATAAGAGTTACACGTTGTTTTTGTATGTAGGAGAATTTAAATTATTTGTCATTAGTAGTTGTTGTCGAACGAATGAAGGATTAATTTTCCTTGAGCTGTGCACAACATATATCTCACAAATTACTATTTAATCAATTTTACACATGAAATTTGTTTTTATTATAATTTTTATCCTCATTTTTTAAACAGCGATCACAAGTTCCTAAACTCTCAGTTCTATGACCAGTTGTGATAAAACTTCTCATCAACAATATTGCTTTTTAGAAGGTAACCAAAAAATCTACTTCATTAAAAATTTAAACCTTGTTGCAATATTTTATTTCCCTACAATTCGAATTTTTTTTACGTATACTATTAAGCAATGTTGAGCGAATAAAGAGATTTGCCAATGGGCTACGCTTCGAAAATATTTTTTGACTTATATATCATTATTTCTTCTAGAACATTATGTTTGACACCCATTATATAGTTAAAAAGTTTGATGTAATGTGGCATGAGCATTTAAAAATTAATTATTAATAAAAATTGCGCTTATGCAATGATATTAACGCACCAGCAGTGCAAGTCAATTTCAAAATAGTTTTTGACAAAATCATGAAATCGCCGATAAATGCAATAGCACGGAAATAGTAAATGAAATAAAAGCTTCATGCCAAATCTGCCTTAGAGGATAAATACACGTAATAGAGTACAAAATAATAGATCAAAACATTTTGTTTGTTATTATTTATATAGTATTTATAGTTTTATTATTGCTTTACTACCAAGTAATTTAGCAATTTTGCATTCGAGACGGCGATTTTTTTCGAACGGTGTCTTTAGGAGCAATTTTTTTTTGTTTATATTGTTCATATTTAATAAAAAAAACTTGTTTAATACAGAAATCACCCATTTCGCAAACAAATTTGCATAAATTGTGCAACTTGCTCCTCAGAAAAGTTTTATTGCGAGGAGCGGATTGAATACCATGTGTCCAATGTAAGGTAAAATAAAAATATAACATTAAAGTAGATAAACATTTATTTTAAAAATAATTAGATATTATAAAATCGTTATGTTGCTTTCAATAATGAAAAACAGAATATAATGCAAAGAAAATTATAAGAAATAGTAAAAAGTCAAAAAAATAAGTTGAATAATGCAGAAGGCGCTACTATTGCTGTTGGTGATAAATTTGAAATATAGAATTGGATAAATATGGGTCCTTATATCGATATTTTCTAAAAATGTAGGTTTCAAAATTTCAAATAAAATGTTTTGTTTTGTTTTGGTACCCTATGAAACCAATGCCAAATTTAGTTTTTCTACACTTTACAGATACTATTGATTCAAAAAAATCTTATCTCGACGACTATTTTACTCAGAATAACAGATAATTGCCCATTACTATTATTGCAATAACGGTGTGTGATAAAAAAATCGTTTTGTGAAACTATATTAAATTAAATGTCTAAGTTGGTTAACTTTGTTGGTTGGTTTATGGGTTATGATTGCATTGCACAAGATAAAGGGCATTGATCTTATGAAAACACTCAACATTTTTTGTTCATAATAATATAAATAAGAAAACTATTTTCTATCCTAAATTACACCAAAACATAAATTTTTATTCAATTTGTTGAATTATCCATATGGAAAAATTCAGTCAGAATTATTAAGTAATATCATTTAATTGTACAAACCCTACAAATATGAACTAAAAATTTCTTTGGAATGACGGAAAGCCTAAAATTTTCGAAGTATATTATTAATGATTCGCTAGAAAATAGAAAGAAAGAGATTTGAATATTAGCAGACTAGGAGTACGTAAATAATTCAGTACCGGACGAGCTGACTCCAAATTTGGCAAGCGACGCCTCGGTGTCGAGTGACCGTAGTTCAGGACGCCACGCGTCATCAAAATGGCCGAATGTTTATAAATATAGTTCACTAGATAATTACCACAGCAGAAAAATATTATGCATAAATCGTTAAAGTAGATTCTTTTGGTAAAGGACGCACTATTTACCAAAAACCTTCTTTATTTGATATTTGTTTCTATAGCAACAAGTAGCAGGGATTGGTTTTAAAAACGCAACACGTTGAAGATATATCCAGATTTTAATAAAAAAATAAACAGCCCAAATTTTAACCAGTTTATTAATTGAGAATAAACTCAATAATTCTATGAGAGATACATTTTTTCTTTTAGATTTTGGTTTAAACTGCAGTCAATCATTAAATATCAAGGCATAAAAAATATAGATTTTGATATGTTATTAAATAGACTTCAATTATCGTGTATTTATCCATCGCATGTAGAACAATTTATTCAAATTCTGTTTTAAATCACCCGGAAACCCACACTTTCATAATGGAAAAGTGCCATTTCCTTATCATTATTAAAGTGTTGTTAATTAAAACCAAATCTAGAATATCTATCTTGATATGATATTGCGATTAATTTTGGCAATTGTCCAAAGAGAGGATCTATTAAGAATTTGACGTAATGAAATTAAGTTTATTTTATGGTCATAGATTTAGAATATAATTAGCCAAATGTGCAAACTAAATCATTAATTGTTTCATTAATTTAATAAATTATTTCCGAAAGTGATACTTTTTAATTCATAGTATGGGTAGCATAGGTTGATTCAATCTATACTAGTTGTAGCTCGTTCCCGAAATAGATACCGTTCCAAAATATACACTGTATCACACCTTGGACATTAGAATCACATGTCAAATAATTAAACAATTCAGCTTACCAAAATGATGACATTGACGAAATCGTATTTAAAACCCTTATCACATATGCGAAGCACTTTATAAAATTAACACATCGTTTTCCTTCACTTAATAGATCGATTAAAACAGCTCTTTCGGTCCCTTTTATCTTCAGGGAATTCGAGAGATCAGGATTCGAATTTATATTTTTTTATTCAATTTTCAAATTTCTGTGCGGACTCACCTGGCTAGAAAGATTGGAATGGAACACGGGTCGAACTTGGCAACCCGGACACTTGATGCGGACTGATGAATCTTTTGGTACAGGAACCCCGCTTACCCCCAAAGAAAAACCAGAACTGATGCCAAAAGTTCCCTACTCTCGGCAAGTATCGACACTCCCACTCTCTCGATTCTAAAGATGGATCAGAGCGAGGAATAGATCCGTGGATCGGGGGCCGTAAGATACCCTGTAGATCAGGAGCTGGTTTCATTTTGAATATTATTAGAACTGAAAATATGGAGACTCTAAAATTTTCTTTACAATATAAACATTTACAGAGCTTCAGAACAAAATATAAAAATAATTAGGACTTAAAATATGCTCTGACAATTTAGTTTCTCCAAAACTCATAGCAAATTATTCTAACAAAAGTTTTTTAATGATACTAAAATGACAAACATAAGCATCATCGTAACATCTAGACATTTCAATTGAATATGAATAATTTTAAATTTCAAATTTTGATCATAAGTAGACATGCAGTTATTTTTTATTCAGTGATCGTGGTCATTGTTTATTATTACTGTAGTTCGAGTAATTAGTTCACTTAGCATTAAGTAAAAAATTATTTATATTTATTTAAATTTACCTACTAAACAAATTTACTACTAAAATATTGATATTTGCACAACATTTTTGCCAGCTATATATCAAAAATAGATAGAATTAAAGGCAATTTAGAGCATGTTTTGAAGTAAAGAATTTTTGAAAATGCAGTATGACCTAAGAAGTCCAATTTGTTTTGTTGTATGATACTCATAAAATGAAAATAATGGTCCGATGATGGCATGTCTGGAGAATATGAGGAATGTGTCTTTGGGTCCCATTCAAGCTACAAAAGCTTTTAGCGATTGACCAAACTTATGTAAGGTCTTGTGTTGTCTTGATGCAGGACTATACCTTGATTGTGGGTTAATTCTGACCTTTTCTATTAAAGTAGATTCTTTAAAATCTTAACAAACATACTGTATCACCTTTTTCTGGCGAGTTTCAGCGTTGCGCCTGTTCTGAGCAGGTTCTTCTTTTCTTGTTTCATAGGTAATTGCGTATATTGTATTCTGTACATCCTATTTGACATTCCTAGTAACAATTCGCTTCAAAAGCTGATAATCTTTAATACTTTTCAAAGACGAATCGCGGACGCCAGTGCGGCGATACACGCTTCTTTCTATGATAATCATATATGTATTAAGTTTCGAGGAAAACCCCAGACCTTTGGAGTGGTCATAAATTGTAAATTTGATAAATTTTAACTTAGTGGGGTCTCATGTATTGTTATTTGCCGGTTTGCATCAATTAATGCCTTTCTCGCATCTTTATCAGCTTCAACCGTACTTCTTGGACTTGGGGCATCTTGGACGTCAAAATACCAGGAATGAATTTAGCAAACCAGTTTTGTTTGGCACTTTGTATTATCAACACGTCATTTCCGTTCACATCGGTCAATTACATTTAGATTTCAACAGTATTTTTACCTTTTTTATAGAGAAAGAGTAAAATATGTGTAAAATACTGCTTAGTTCTTTCCGTATTCAAAATGGCACCATCCAAAAACTTCTGCATGTAACTAATTAGAATTTTTATAAACAAGCCTTAAATATATGTTTTCAAATCATATAATGATTATAGGAGTTAAGTGTGATGTTAAGTTTAAAAAAAATTAATTAAATTCTGGTGGTAAAAAAACGAAATAGCTTTCGGAACAATCTTATATTATATATCATAACAGTTAACGTAATTCAAATATTATCTGTTATAGTTTTAATACAATAACATAATGGCAATTGTGTGGGCAGATAATTTTTCAAGAACTTTGATATTAATATATTGCCCCTGTGAAGTAAATGTGCATAAAATCGAATCCACATGTTAAAATCGTTTTATATATTATAAAGTCTATGCATATGACATTTAATCATTTGATAGTGTTCCACGATTGTCGACAACGCTCGTTCACTCAATGACGTCCTAATCCCTTCTATCTGTTTACACTTATTTTGCGCTCGACTAGCAGTCATGTAAAATAAGTCATATCATGATACTAATTGAAATAAAATATATAAAATAAACAATTCTTTAAAAAATAGTGATGCACTCTTTTTTTTATTTAAAAGCACTTACATTGTTGTTCATATTTTAGTTGTCAAGATTTTTTATATTTTTGTCCTTATTAAAATATATTAAATTTTTCAAAAGACAATTCTCAATTGAAAATAAATGCTTCGTGAAAATATTTTTGTACATATTCATTCTCTCAAATGTTTAATATAAATAAATATTAATATTCAATAGTAAAAATAATTTTCTAGATTTTTTTTGAATGTCGAAATATTCATTCTTCTAAACGTTTAATATAAATTAATCATTTTATTTCATAGGAATTTATATAATACTTAAACTCAGTTTATCTGAACTTTTTAAGAAAATATAATAAAAATCGTTTGATATTTATTCTAAAACTGACCAGCTCCTCTTGCACTAAACTAAATCGTAATTGCGAGATCAACAGATTTTGCGCCGCGATATCGAGATTTAACAAGATTATTAATCATTTACTGACGAAGTTTGTGAGATTGATTGAGGATAAATGATTTATGACGAACTAACATATATTCGAGCATTTAACATTACTAATCGTTAAAAATTCTATTAATATCATTATTATTCTATTCCTTTCTCGCCTACTTGCATTTCGTATTGGTATTGAAATCTTTACTTTGTTGTTATTTGATTGTTTGTGAATTTACCACTTGCATCAAGCACACATAGTATAAACAAAATGAATGAAAACACTGTTCTTCATAAACAAATTAATACGTTGAAGTAAGAATTGTTGTGTTTCCTTATTGAGTGCCATCAATATTAGAAATAAAAACGCCAGTTAAAAGAACCATCAATATTAGATATAAAAACGCCTAGGTCGTTCAATAATTTCTCATACTAATTGAAAAGCCATGTAGTTATAGTATTCAAAACATAACTTGTAATCTTTAATTTGATCTGTTTGTTTGTCCTTCCGCTTGTCTGTATGTCTGTCATAATCATTTTACTTCAAATCTAATAGTCAATTCTGAAAGTAATCTCTAGACAAAGTGATTTATAAAACTAAATACAACAAGATGTTCAGTAGATGTAGTTTAATTATCATTACAAATGATTAATTTTACATTTTTCCTAGTAAACTATTAAAAAGTCATTGTGCTATGCCAGTTTTGCGCTTAAAATTTAATATACTTAACTATAATTCTGATTTTTTAAAGATAATAGAAATGAACTTCAATAATTGAACTGTTCAGCATTTTGAACATTATATAAAAAACAGAAAACTATTTATAATTGATATATTCGAATTTATATATTAATATTATAATGCTGCTTTAATTAGCTTTTTTCTTGCTACTGCCAAAGAAAATTTGACGGTCCTATACTATCTCTATTTACTTCATTTATCTTTTTTAATTTATAAATAAACAATAGTGAGTTGTAATTTATTATTTAAGTTTTTAATGTGCTCGATGAAGGTGACATGTATGTATACACACATTTATGCCCACACACACAGTTTATCACAATTTATTAGTTTCGGTTTTGACTGAAATTATAATTTTGCTTTGATTGTGTGTATATATACAAATATATACGAATTAACAAATTGAATAAATAATTGCAATTATTTATTTCTACGTTTCGTCACTAAGTATGTGCCATCATTTAGCTAATCCAGTTGGTTCCTGACAACAAACAGTTTTATATGAAAAATCAATAGAATTGTAAACCTCAAGCTAAAATAAATGTTTATCAAAAAAATTAAAAGAAATTTGTGTGAGACAAAATTATGGTAGTGGGCACAAAGATCCGATTTGACTTAGAGAAACAAATATCGAACAAACAACTATATGACTATGCTCAATAAAACTCCCAGCCAATGTTGTTTTTGCTGTTTTTCAAAAATTTGTAATCTGGTTCTTTTCACCCCATAAGCTACACTATTCAACCAATGCAAAATATAAATTTTACGGGTACATTTTTTAACTTCCCGTAGGGCAAGTTATAGTAATCGCAAAAAATCGAAATGAAAATTTTTTATATCTTTACGTTTCAGAGGTTTCTGAACATTTTGGCATACCTTAGAAAAAATGGATGTATGTGTGTGTGTGTGTGTGTGTGTGTGTATGTGTGTGTGTGTGTGTGTATGTATGTATGTGTGTGTATGTATGTGCGGATACAAATTTTCGTCGACGATTTCGGGAACACGGATCAACCGATTTGAATAATTCAAAAAACATTCGATCCGTATTAATAAGGAGACGTGCTGATTAGTTTTTGGCAAAGGCAGGTCAAGCCGTTCCGAAGATACGGGGCAAAAAGTTTCGAAAACGGTAACTCAGTTTTTAAGAGAACGGAGCGTCCGATTTTAATAATTCAAAAAACATTTTATTTGTATTGACAAGATGAAGAATCGATACAACTTTCATGAAGGTAGGTCCAGCGGTTTCGGAGATATAGAGGAAAAAGTAAAAAAATGAGCCATTTGGCGGTCAAAAATGATCATTAGACATATGCACATCAAATTATCAGACATTTTATAGAGATTTTAACAATAAGTATACATTTTGTTAACATTCCTATCGGTTCCGTACCAATGCTTATGCGTTAGACAGCGACGCGGCGCTTACGCGCTTTATATTTTGTCCCTATGTAGTTAAAGCAGTACGATCGCTTTGAAAAAAAAGTTCAGATCTTCCACAATATGTCAAAATAAAGAAAAAAAAAATTTTTTTTCAAAAAAAAAAAAAATTTTTAAAAAAATTTTTTTTTTCGAAAAAAACTAATTTTTTGTCCAATTTATAGTTTCTCAAAAATCTTATTTTTTCAAAGTAATTTTTTTTCAAAAATGTTAATCGTTTTAAAAAAATAATAATAATTTTTGGTACGGGAAGTTCCAGCAATTTGCCTTAAGGCACGATGCCATAATTACCTTAAGACAGAATTCCACTTACAGCTAGTTTAGAGATAATACTGTATTCAACCTGGATGTAGTATTTCATCAAACAAATCATCAGCAGCGTTAAAACAAACATTTAATTAACTTATAACTTGTAAACTTGCTTTT